CGCTCGGGGTCGGGAGGGTGCCATCCTTGGGGTGACATCCCCGAGCACTCGCCCGCGGCCTGAGCCACAGGGGCTGGGAGGAGGCGTTATCCTGCCCTTCCCGGGCAAGATGAAAGCAGGAAAAACCAACCCGGCTGCTGCAATAAAATAAAATATCCCCTTCGCCGCGGGAGGTGCCGGAAGGAGGGACAAAAGCGGGCGAGGGGCGCGCAAGGGAATAGCCGGCTCCGGGGGCGGGTACCCCCATTCCGGGGCCGGGTCCATCCCCGGAGGGGTACCCCCGACCTAGGGCTGGGTACCCCCAGTGCGGGGCTGGCTCCATCCCCGGAGGGGTACCCTCATCCCAGGGGAACACCCCCATCCTAGGGCTGGGTACCCCCAATCCGGTGCTGGCTCCATCCCCGGGGCAGGGTACCCCCATCCCTGGTGGGGTACCCCCATCCCCGCGGCCAGGTCCATCCCCGGGGGGGTACCCCCATCCTGCGGAGGGCACCCCCATCCCGGGGCCGGCTCCACCGCCGGAGGGGGTCCCCCCATCCCGGAGCCGGGTCCCCCCATCCCGGGCGGGCTCCATCCCCGGGGCGGCAGCGGAGCGCGGCGATGCGCGGGGCGGGACGGGGGGTCGGGATGCGGCGGGAGCGACCTCACCTCGCTGCGGGTGATGCGGTGCCGCGCCAGCTTCACCACGGCGAAGTTGCCCTTGCCCAGCGTGCCCTCGATGTCGTAGAAGCCGACGCGGACAGGGCCGAGCCCGCGGGGCAGCAGCGCCGGGGGCCGCCGGGGCTCGGCCATCACCATGCTGGGCTCGGGGGGCGGCGGCGGCGGCGGCTCGGGCTGCTCGGGGTCGGTGCTCGGCGGCCCCGGGGCCGCGCCGCCCCCTCCGCCCGCTCCGCCCGTCCCTCCGCCGCCGACGGACCGACACACGGACACCGAGCGGCGTCACCGCGCGCGTCACCGCGGGCGGGGGCTCGCCATGGAAACCGGCGGCGCGCCCGCCCAGCGGGGCCGAGCCCGGGCGTGGGGTGGGGACAGAGCCGGGAGAGGGGACGGGAGGGACGGGGGAGAGCGCAGGGGATGGGGAGGGGATGGGGAAGAGGACGGGATGGGGAGGGGATGGGGAAGAGGACAGGGGATGGGGATGGGATGGAGAAGAGGACAGGGGATGGATAGGGGTAGGGGTGAGAAAGAGGATGGGGATGGATGGGGATAGGGATGGGGAAGGGGATAGGGAATGGAATGGGGATGGATGGGGTGGGGATGAGGATAGGGATGGGGACAGAGGTGGGGATGGAGACGGGGACAGGGATGGAGAGAGGGACGAGGATGGGGATGAGGATGGGGACAGGGATAGAGGTAGAGATGGGGATGGGGACAGGGATGGAGACAGGGACGAGGATGGGGACAGGGATAGAGGTAGAGATGGGGATGGAGACGGGAACCAGGATGGAGGGGGGGATGGAGGTAGAGACAGGGATGAGGCAGTGATGCTGAGGGTCGGTGGGTCCCCCAGGCTCCCCCCACGGCTTGGTGTGGGCATCCCCTCCTGCTCTCCCAGCTCGGTAGGTGCCCCACAGTGTGGCTGTAGGGGGGGGGGGTCAAACCCACCCCCTGCATTAATAAGATCCCATTATCCCATTAATGAGATCCCAGCAGGCCCAGCTCGTTAGCAGGATGAGGGGGAATGGGTCGGCCCCAGGTGTCTCTCCAGCCCTAAATCAGGGGCTCCATGCACTGAGACCCTGAGCTGCTGCACCTGCATCAGACTTCATGGGTCCTTAAGGCAGTTTCCTGACACAAATCCTCTCTCTCTGGCACTGGGCAGCTTTTCCAGTGGCCCCAGTTATTCCAGATCACAAAGATGCCTCTTGTTGGTACATCAGCCCCCCAAAATCCCAGGCAGATCACACAGAGTGCTGGGTGCAGCTCTGGGCCCCACCATTTCAGAAGGTGCTTGGGTGCATCCAGAGGAGGTTCATGGAGCTGCTGATGGGGCTGCAGGAGGAGGGATGTCCTGTGAGGGGCCTCTGCCTTCATCCAGCTGGGAGAAAAGGAGGCTGAGGGACAACCTCCTGGCTCTCTGGAGGGGATGTGGAGATGGAGGTGCTGAGCTCTTCTCCCTGGAATCCAACGACAGGACTTGTGGGAAGGGCTCAAAGCTGCGTCAGGGGAGGTTCAAACTGGTTATTGGGAAGCATTTCTTTACCAAGAGGGTGGTCAAACACTGGAACAGGCTTCCTGGAGAGTGGGTCAATGCCCCAGGCCTGTCACTGTCTGACAGGCACTTGAATCATGCCCTAATGACACACTTTTAACTTTTGTTTTTCCCTCTAGTGGTCAGGCAGTTGGACTAGATAACTTTTGCAGGTCCCTTCCATAACTAAACTATTCCTCTATTTATTTCCTGCACACCTGGAAAGACAGATTGGGAAGCTCTGTTAGGCCCTTTGACATGAAATGGTTAGAGGACCTTCAGAGTTGAGAATGTGTGAAAAAAGTTAAGGCCTTTCATGCTAAATTCCCTTTCCAGTACTAAGTCCACCAGGTCTGATTTGTCTGTGCACTTACACATGAGCTTGCTTTCATTCCAAAAATGCCATTTTAACTCTGCAGTAATCTTTGCTCTCCTAGTTCATGCCTGTCCCTCTCTGACCACTCTTATCCTCTGCCCCATCTCAGGCTGGAGGATTCACTTTGGGTACCAGGAATCACCCCTGGAATCTTTGCTCCATTCCACTGACCAAACAAGGCTGATGGAACAGCCAAAAGCTGATGGAACAGCTCGTGTCTTCTGAATCAGCAACACAGCCACAGAGCTTTTCTGATGCAAACACAGCTCAAAACAGAGTGTGGCCACGAAAAGAACAAGTGGAAGAAAGCAAGGAACAAACTTGTGCCTCTTGCTTTCCCTTTTTTTGTACAAGTTCTACACGTAAGGCTGTGTCATACTTGTGAAAAGTTGGTTAAATTTGCTACGTGTCAAAGAGTGATGACTGTTCTGCAAAGGGAGCTGAAGTTCTCTGTGCAAAAATTAATGCCTGTCCTTCCCTGTTCCTGAGATTCTCTAAGGAATGACATTTGGAGATGATGCTGCTGACTTGGGCTGCCATGGAGAACAACCAGAGTGCTCTCACTGTTCTATTTATCCCCTTCAGAAGTTCTGGCAATGACTAACTGATGACTTGAGTTAGTCAGACATCCACCCTTTTAAGTGATTGATAGGTACATGAGCAAGCTTTCCATAATCCTACTTGAATAGAAAGTGGTGTCATCCCAAAGTGCCACTTGTGACATTTCTCTGCTGTGGAGGGGCTTCATTTTTTTTTTACAGACTCGAGCTTGGTGCGTTAAAAGTAACTTTTTCTCCACTGTGCCAAATACTGCCTGATATTCATTCACAGCCGCTTCATTATAAACCGGATTCTTTAGTATTAAAACATTTATTTGCTTCCTGGCCACTTCTGCAGTCACAAAAACATCCTTTGTCCTGCACATTTTAGCGGCCACCGATGTGTCCTGCCGTGCTCCAGGGAAAGGGATCCCAGCGCTCCTGGCAAAGCAGGGATGGAGCAGCTCGTGGAGGACAAACGTGGAGCGCACATGCCCTCGTGTGGTCACTGCAGCTCCAGGGCTCCAGAGGAGACGTCCAGCAGCAGGAATTCTCAAATCCCCTCAGCTGGGCACACGCAGCTCGCTGCCCGAGCTCAGGGAGCCGGGACCAGACCAAAACACATCTCAGACGCCTCATCTCCGACCTCTGGCAAGCTTTGCCTCTCGTTTTCTGCTTTTCAACGCCTGAAATGCTCAGGATGTGCCTGATGCTTAATGCCTGCAAAAAAAACCAAACAAACAAACCCAAAAAAACCAAACAACAACAACAAACCACCCCAAAAAACCGAGGGAAGAGACCAAGAATATAAGAGTCAAAACGGATCGATTTTTTTCTTGATGAAAGAGCACTAATTACTGCATTGGAAACTCCAGGCATTCCAAGTGCCCAGCACTGCCTATTCTCCTGTGTAAGGATTTTGCTTTTCAGGAGAAATTGTTGCTAACTCGATGCCATTTCCAAAAGACCTGGAAGATTAATTCTTTTTTTTTTTTTTCCAAAGGAATTACTTCTTTCAGGGCTTCATCTTGCACCACGTTCTGGTGGAGGAACAGCAGGGGCTTGGCAGACACCGTGACACTGCAGATGTGCAGCACAGAGCCCTTGTGCACTGAAATATTTCAGTGTTTGCAGTTAAATCCTCTTCCTGCCTGTTTACTTTGGCAGAACAGGTTCGTGGCTACCCCTGCACTCAGTTCTGTTGTTGTTTCAGCCACGCATAAAACACCTTTTGCCAAACCTTTGTTTCCTGGTGGCTTGTGAAAATTCTTCCTTTTCCTATTTATTTATTTCCATGCAAGGGAGGAGAGCAAGCTCTTAAGGGAACCCTGTCCAGAGCTAAAAATTCATTTTAGGTGCTTCAGAGATTTGTTCAGCAGCAAAACATTGCTCTCTCCTGGAGCCAGAAACACCTGCAGGGCAAAAGGTGTGTCCTATTTGTGTTCCTGCTTGACATACTTTATGTTCTTGGTGTCCCCTCACTCCCTCCCTCCCAGGAGGATGAGGGAAAGAAGTGGAAAAGTGAGAAAATTCGTGGTTTGAGACAAAGGCAGTTTAATAGGTAAAGTAAAAGTTGCACACACAAGCAAAGCACACCAAGGCATTCATTCCCCACTCCCCATGTCCAGGAAAGCAGGGCTCCATCACACCTGACAGGCAACTTTTAGCACCTTTAAGACAACTGGGTCAGTTAAATAAATAAGGATTTTGGATTGTCCTCTAGTTTTTCAAGGCATATCTTTGGTACAAAAAAGTGAATCAAGATTATTAACAAACCGTTCCCAGGGCAAAGGGGGCTTGATGCAAAGCAAAATATACACATTCTTTTCAGTCTGGATCGTTAAAAACCCACATTCTTTCAAAAAAAAAAAAAAAAAAAAAAAAAAAAAGAGAAGAATATGGGGAAATGCAAACCCAGGATAAACACCATGTGTAACTGTTATTAAAACAAGTGCATGGACAGGGCAGGTAAACTCGTCTCAGCATCCACCTTGTCATCTGAGTTCCAGGGTTTTTTTTTCTGTCCGTTTGCTCAATATCCATAAATCTCATTGTCCACCCAGGTGGACTCCTGGCTCCTGCCCACACGGTCCCCACAGAGCTCGTAGATGTCGTTGGTGACAAAGCCACTCTCGGTCCCAAAGCCACTGCTGGGGGGTTTGGGCGCTGCCTCCTGCCTGTCCCTGCCCAGCTCCGAGTGCTCCCGGGCCCGGAAGGAGGAATTCTTGGTGCCAGGCCTGGTCCCAGCCAGGTCTGCCTCCGACTGCTTGGTGATGACTTTGTAGATGTCCAGGCTGGGGCTGTTGGACAGCCAGGTATCCTCCTCCTTGGGGCTTCTGTCCATCCGCTCCTCCCTCCTGGGGAATGGGGGGGAAACAAAAAACCCCTATTATGGCACAAAGCAATACCACACCTCTTACAGTAATTTAATGCTGACCCTCGAGGGAAGCTGACCCTCAGAGTCCAGGCTCTGCATAAAATTGGGAATTATTTGTCATTCCGTGCTGCACACCCAGAACAGCCCCTTGGCACGACCTGGAGATACTGAGGCAGCAAAACCCAACCCTGACGTTCCCAAAACCACAACCAGCACCCCCAGCAGAGCCACTGTGCACACAGGGAAAACATGGAGATATTACTTATCAACAAGTATTACTTGCTCCTTTTATCTCCACATTTTTCACTTTCAAAGGTGAACATCTGATAATTCAAAAATCGATGATTCGAATCTTTAATAAGAAAGATGAAGTGCTGCCACATGAAAATCATTATCTTGTTTACACTGTTCCCTGACTACTATGTCTGTGAACACACTAATATGCTATAATGTGATTTACTTAAAATTTTGCTTGAAAATAACTCAGCCTGGAGCACCCACTGCACTTTTTAAACATTTCTTTGGCTGCAGAGCACCTCACAGGGTGCCAAAAGCAGCTGTGAGATTACTGCCAGGAAATGCTACCATAGGTGGTTTTAACATAAAACCACCACTTACCTCTTCACAAAAAGCCAAAAACAGGAGATGCCTGTAATGACCACCAGGAGCAGCAGCACAGGAATGCCGGGAATAAGGATGTAGGCAAGACTCTGAACAGGTTCTAGGGGTAAAAAGGAGTCAGTGGTAAGAAGGAATTGGAAGATTCTCACAGTTAATCATATACACTTACAAACAAAACATGGTCAATTTAGCCACTCAAAAATGATTCAATAAAAGTACCTTTTCCAGACCCAGAACACTTTAGATTTTGAACATTTTGGTGGCCAAAGCAGCCAGTTCAGGTTTCTACTGAAGGGGAAGATTTGAGGGAAGGGCGGGGGTTTTTTCAGTTTGGGTCAAACATTTGGGTCAAACATTTGAAACTGTTTGCAACCAAATGTGAAAAATGTGGATTTGCACAGCCAGGGGGGAGGGCACAAAGTACCTCTGGCTCCCACAGCTGTCACATTAACACCTCTCCTCCGGGGTTCTCCTGGCAGCACTGGGCTCGAGGGCTCCGTGGCAACATCTGGGAAGAAGCAGCTTAGTTAACATTGCAGATTTTCTTTTTGAAAGAGCTTAAGAGTCATAAAAGTGAGGGTGAGGGGATGGGAGAGACTGAGAGCTGCAAAGATGGGTAAAGGGTACTGGCCCTCCTGCTTCCATGACCTGCATCGACAGCAGCCAGGCTGTTTTCCTACAGAATGGGTTATGGAATAGCACAAGGAAAAGTGCAGACTGCAGGGGAGTTTCTTGCTCAGTGTGTTTTCAGCCTGCTGAGAATGACTGTAACACAGGGCTGCCTCTGAAAGTTAACTTATCATTGAAGAAGAGCCCCAAACTCCAGCTCACCTCTCTGAGGATTCTCTATTGGAGCATTTGTTGGCTTCTCTGAAAGAAAAGAGAAAAGCACAATTTGAGTGGGGAGACCAACACCATGAGCACCCTTCTCTGGTGTTCTCTCTCCCTCAGGCCCCAGCTGAGACCTCAAACACTTCACACTTCATAAAAACCCTCTGAAAATTTGTACCAAGTCACAGGGAGCTGCAGATATTAATGCTGAGATTGCTTCCCCCAGCACTTGCACGAACTCAGAGATACCCATCTCCCAGCAGTGAAGCCGAGGAAGGGTTTCCCTGTGTCCCTGCAGCCTCCTCGTACCTTCTGGGGGTTGGGTTTCAAAGGCACAGAATGACTCATTACCGAGGGAATATTTGCAAATGAAGTTATTTTTCATGTTGCATCTGTCGTCGTTCCACTGAAACATGTAAGGCCCCCCGACACCTGGCGGGGCAGATGGCTGGTGGTACATCACAACGCAGATCTCACTCCCACAGGATGGCTCATCCACGTACCAGTTCCTGGGAAAACACAACCAACACGGGCAGGGGCCACCCGACATCACTTCCCGGGAGCTCAGATGGGAACATACCCCAGAGGGCACAGCCAGAGGGTCACAGCACACCCTCCCACCCCGCCCTTCCCCTGGGAGTACAGTTATTTATTCTCGCAATTCCGATTTTTCCAAAGGAAAAAAAAACCCACAACTCAGCAATCAGGGTGTTAAACGTTCAGGAGCAAAGGGCTGAGCCCCTCCCTGCCTGGAACCCCTCGGGAGAAATTTGACTTTCCCAAACGATTTTAGACCTGTGCAAAATCATCTACCACAGTTATTTTGTTTTGCTCTCTGGCCTCGGTGCCTCGCAAAATTTCAACACCTCTTTAATGAGGAAATGAAAAAGCTAAAGGGGGATCTGTTTTTCTCTGTCTGGAAATGCACCAGCACTGGCTTGCACATAATTTTCTTTTTGTTGTTGTTGTTCTAATAATAAACTTCACCACCAGACAACTGTGCAGGCTTTTCCAAGAGCACCCAGGAAGGAGGCTCAGCCCCCTGGAACACCATTGCTATTGAGGAGGCATCTTCTGCAGCTCAGAGAACTCTTCTAAGCTGGGTTTAGATTTTGACAAGTGCTCAGTACCCACTATTTTGGAGCAAACCATGTTTTGCCTGCCAAGCTGACCCGTACAATAGAGATAATTCCAGCTATCCCAAGGTACTCCACATGGGAAAACACCCCTGTGTGTTAAAGCAGTGTTTTTTCAATCATTCCAACGCTGTATTTCTCCCTCACTTCCTTCCTCCCCTGGTGTTTTCCTTGGCTTTATCATTTAGCACAAATAAGCTGTGTCTCACCAATGGAAGGCAATAAAGCTGGGCCTGTTTCTTAGCAGCAGATCTGGCTCCAGCTTCCCATTATCCACCCCCAATATCTGAACCACAGGAGGAACTTTAATGCACCCAACAGCACTAAAAGCAGTTTTATTCATTCCTTCACAGGGCAACTGAAATATCTGATGAGCTGCCAAGGCAAGAAGGTCACTGGCAAGATGTTTGTACCCATGTGCAATAGGAAGGAGAATGCAGATTGGCGTAAATGTTGTTGCTTTGATATTTTAAATTTCAACAAATGCTGTGGTTTCTCTCACCTTAAGACAGGGAGGCAGAAATCTCACAAATGTTGTGAAGACTTGAACTTTTCACATCTACAAAGAAATCCTGCAGCTCTCAGATTTAACTGTCTCACAGGAAAAAAAAATGTCATTCCTTCAGCAAGTGGAAGGGAAAGAGCCCATTGCTCAGGGATGAGCTCCAGGGCATCTGAAGTGCAGGAACCTCCAGGTCAAAGCACATATTTTGTAGCTGCCTAATCAGATTTTTTAAGACCAGATCACTTGTTCTTCCCCCTCCTTTTAGCAACCAAAAATCATCAATTAGCCCGAGTTAAACACTCTAGGTGTCACATGGAGCAACAGAGAGTCTCCAGAGCAGGGTAACTATATCTGGGTGGGATGAATCACAGATGGCAGCTGGGACAATATTCCTTGGGTCATTTGACAGAATCCTTTGTGGTTGCTGAAGGCAGGTGACAGTCCCTGACCCTTTTGCCTCCCAGTGCCACCCACAGGCACCCACCTGAACTTGGCTGAGCTGCCATCCGACCAGGAGTAGAAGTTCTGGCACTCTGTACTATTGTTCTCCTCCTCCTCCTCCTTTTTCCTCCGGAGCCCAATCCAGAAATCCCCATCGGAAGCCAGGAGGCTCCTGACGAAGGTTTCGATGAGTCTCTGCTCTGCTGCACTCTCGATGCTCACCAGGTGTCCCCCGTCAGCCTGGCAGGCCAGCTGAGCCTCCTCGTAGCTGGTTCTGCGGGAGGCATCGTGGAAATACACGATTTTGTAGCAGGGTTTCTGCGTCCCGCGGCGGCAAACTGTCTGTCCTGCAGGGAGGGAGAGGGACCTGTCACAGCAACTCTGCCTGCAGGGCCAGACTTCGGTGCTAATGCTTCCATCTGGACGAGTTTTGCACTGTTTCTATGGAAAAGTAGACAGGTAAAGAGCCTCTTGTGTCCCTGGCCTGGCAATGGCACCTCCAAGCTTTTCTTACTGCATCAAACAGTTTTTAGCACTGTCCTTTCATGTCCTGCTCTTCTCAGCTCCCTCACGATTTTTTCTGTGAGTTCCAGATCCTGGGAGTTCCTCCCAGAGAAGCAATGCTGTGCCAGACAGCAAGCTCACATATGCAGCATTTTCAGAACAGAGCTCCCTTGCAGGAGTTCAAAGAGGATTTTTTAAATTTATTGTTGTTTTTAAGGAATTAAGCAGCTAAAATCAGAGATTCCCTTACACAAGCAGAAACAGCAGGGATTTATCTTTCAGGGTGTGTGTAATAGTTCCATGGAGTTTATATTGCAGTCATGGAATGGTTTGGGTTGGAAAAGATCTGAAAGCTCACCCAGTTCCACCCTCTGCCACAGGCAGGGACACCTTCCACTATCCCAGGTTGCTCCAACCTGGCCTGGGACACTTCCAGGGATGGGGCAGCCACAGCTTCTCTGGGCAACCTGTGCCAGGGCCTCCCCACCCTCCCAGGGAAGGATTCCTTCCCATTCTCCCACCTACACTTACTCTTCCAGTTTTCAGTGTCTCTACTGGGGCGAACAAGACATGTTCCCCCAGCCCAGTTCCCTCTGCTCTGGGTGGTGCTTCTGACTGCCCAGGAAGGAAACAGTGTCTGCTTTCAGGCTGTCAGAAGCCAAGAACTTTCTCATGCAGAAGCAGCACAAGCTTATTTTGGTTACAAGGGGAGATCAAAGTGAACAGACACATCATCTGAATCCAGGCACTCCTGCGTTCCTCAGCACAACAGTCCCAATATTTAGACTGTGGAAACAAACAGTTTTGTTCTACTCAGTAAATATTTCTCTGCAGACACAATCTGCTAACCTACGTGTCTGCACAGAAGGAAAACATTCAGCAACATTTGTAACGTGCTCAGAACAAACAGGATGAGAGGACGGGTCATTATAAACCCCTCCGTGGGTTATTTGCTGGCTTTGCTTTGTTCTTCTGTATTCCTACATGAGCACTGTAAGAGTGAGAGTTTAAAGACCTTTCATAGGGGAATTTTTGAACAGTTAACTAGTCAGAATCAGTCTGTTAACACTTTACACGGAAGTTACAACAGGAACAGTTTTTTACTACAACTGCAGTGTTAGAGAATACATTTCTGGCATAACCTGTATTTCTCTTGGGAACTTTACACTCATCCAGGCTTGGTGAGACAGGCAAAGCCCCCTTACCTCTTCTGAGGGATATGTCCACTGCTGTTGTGAAAGGCATGAGAAAAACACAGACAGCACATTGTTATTAAAAAAGCTTCACTAACTGTCTACAAATACTGTCACAAGCTGCACTCAGGGTCTTTCTGATACACAAGTGCAATTTTTTTCCACTTACTGGCAGAAAATCTCTGCCTCATCAGCCATTACTTTCAGCTAAGGAAAAATCTACTGTAGTTGATGTCTGATTACTGCTCTTTGGGATCCCAAAGAAGGTTTGAGTTACAGGGCATGCTGTCTGTGTAGCTGTAAGCAGCGCTGAAAGGGTTCCTTGTATTTTCCCCTTATCTCCTCACTGCCTAGACGGGATCTGCCCCAAAGTCTGCTGACTTCAGTGAGCTCCCCAGGGCAGGGCAGGGAAAAATCACAGTCACGAAAGTTGGAAGGGACAGAATCCCAGAACAGGCTGAGCTGGAAGAGGTGCACAAGAACCATTGAGTCCAACACTTATCCCTGCACAGGACCACCCCCAAGAGTCACACCATGTGTCTGAGAGGATCATCTTGAGCTCTGGCAGCCTTGGGGCTGTGCCCGCTGCCCTGGGGAGCCTGGGCAGTGCCCAACCAGCCTCTGGGGGAAGAACCTTTTCCTGAGATCCAACCTGACCCTGCCCTGACACAGCTCCAGGCCATTCTCTGGGGTCCTGTCCCTGCTCCCCACAGAGCAGAGCTCAAGGCCTGTCCCTCCTCTGCCCCTCCCGAGGGAGTTGCAGACCAAGCCCACCAAGCCCAACCTTCCCCCCGCATCCGCATCCTCCCCGTGTCGCGACATTCCCGCGCATCCCGACCCTCCCAGCGCCAGGGGCGAGCGGCAGCAGAGCCGGAGCTCCCTCTCCGTGCCAGGGGGGCGATCCCAGCGCCGGGCAACCCCCCCGCATCCCCCCGCAAACCCCCTCTTACCGCTGAGCAGCCGCGCCCCCGCCGCGCAGCCCAGCGCGGCCGCGCACAGCGCCGCGGCCGCGAGCATCGCCCCGGATCCGCGGCCCGAGGGGACGGGAGGGAGCCGGCACCGGCACCTCCTCCTTCCCTCCTTCCCTCCTTCCCTCCCCTTCTCGGGCTCCGGGCCAGCGGGCTCGGCTCAGCCCCTGCGCTCGGGAAGCGGCACCGCCCGGGCTCGGGATGCGCCTCCTCTCTCCGCTCCTCTCTCCGCTCCTCTCTCCGCTCCTCTCTCCGCTCCTCTCTCCGCTCCACCTCCTTCCCCGCTCCAAACTCTTCATCCCTCCGCGTGTTCCCCCGCCCGGTTTTATACCTGTCCCACACTCCCCCCGGGGCGTGGGGAGCCGCCCCCGCAGGCAGAGCCAGACCCAGCCAGGGGCGCATCCTCCCCGGGCTGAGGATGCGCGGCTGCCCTCGGGAAAGCGCTCCGGGAGCGGGCACAGAGCACGGGGGCTCTGCTTCGAACATTGCCGACCCCCCCAGCCCGTTTCCTGGTGGCCGGGAAGCTGCTCCGCACCTGTTTCCTGCAGCGTTCTCCATCCACGGATTTTCTGGCTCGGGCTCCAAGGGGGTTTTTGCAGGACAGAGCACCGGGATCGGTGCTTTCTTTAAAATAAGAGATTAATGGTTTTTATGTATTTCAAACCTAGACCCGCTCTTGGGAGCTCAGTTAGAGAAGCTCCTTCTGAAATCAGTATTTTAAATAGAGGAAAATCCTTTAAAGTACCACGAGCACAGCCCACTCCAGGTCACCAGAAATCAGGGATCTCAGTGTTGGAGCTGAGCTCAGGCCATGGCTTTGCAGCCTGGGTCGTGTCTGTGAAACAGGAACAGCCTTTGTGACATTTCCTGGCCCTTTCAGAAATATGGAAACACTTTGTCAACTGGTCTTCTCCCTGACTTTCAGAATTCCAACCTGAATTAAAGCAAGATTAAGGAAAATGTCGAAGCTTCCACCTCCTTCTCTTAATATTTAGAAAAAAATGGAAAATATATAGAAAGTAAAGTACAGAACAAAAGCAGCAGGCTTTCAGCCTTTTAATGTCCATATCTTAATATATATTAGTATAGGATAAAACTGAGTAGTCATTGCAATAATAATGACAATAATATCCAGAACATCTTTCCCCCCTCCCCCAGATAGGACCTGACTATTTAGACCGAGGGAAATAAAAAGCAGACCCAGCTTTAAATGCACAGAATTTGGGCAGAGCAGATAGTCTGGGTTCAGCATTTTAATAAACTTTGAGAAGAGGAGGTACTTCATATGAACCAACTTAAAAGCTTAAATAAGAAGGAAGAAGAAAGGAGGCTTTTATGTCTAAAATGAATACGTCATTTCTGAAAGGGTCCTTTGAAATCTTGTTTTCCAAGTTATTTCTCAAATCACTGCACTCATCAGCTTTAAAATTTCAGTTCTGCTCTCTACAATTGAGCAATGAAATTGTATTAATTCAGATATATAGTTCTTCAGAAGAACAGATGTTTAACCTTCAACTCATTTATCGCTGCTTTGTATCTTGGGAGTTACAGCAGAAGGAAAGAAGAGCATTAATTTAATTCAACCCTCTTACTCCTGGATTTTATTCTCCTGATAAACATCCGGCCAGGCCAAGGAAAACCACTGTATGTCAGTAAATCTTGAATTCAATACTGATAATAATAAAAATCCCTACATGGAGTTCTTCCTTTGATTGCTCAAATTAAGTTTCTGAGAGCTTTTTAGGGAGCAGAGCAGCCAGTCTCATAACTTTGTTATAAACTGAGTTTTGGTGTTTTCAGGGGATAAAAACCTCGAGACAGCCATGAAAAAATCAAACAACCAAGAGTGGCCAGGCTGTGAAGATCCCTTTGGCACATGGAACTGAGAAATTCAGACACCATCTCTTCTCCTTGTGGTTTTGGGGTTGAAAATTGTCCAATAACTATATTTAGCTGGCCTAAACTTCATTTACCTCGTACACTTTTTGCTTCCTGCTGTCTGGGCTGGACTTTCAGTGTCCCACAGCCTACAGGATCCTCCTTGCTTAGGGAATTTGTTGGATAATCCCCTGTCCCTGCACCACTGTGGAGACAACAGAGCTTCCAGGGGTGCAGGAACAGCACATCTGGATCAAGCCTGAAGTCTGGATTTGAGCACTGTGTGACACCTATGACTGATAATAATCTGAACATTATTCTTATTTCACTCAGTGCATTCATTTGAATTTCTTTTAGACTTATGTGAGGCTTGTAGTTGTACAAAGTGATTTATTCAGTGCAATCAATCAGTCATCTCTATGGCTGCAAACCCTGGCTCTCATCTATTGTTACTGATTTAAAAAAAAAAAAAAAAAAATTAAAAAAGAATGTAAGATTCAGGGAACTGTTGCTGGCTCCAGCCAGAATTCAGAAAGCAGACTAATTGATGGTAATGGATGGGATGCCTTTTGGAATTGTTAATAGGGAAAGGAGGGTTTGCTGACTTGCAGGAAAGACTTGCAGAGCTCAGCACCTCTCTGTACCTCTCACAGATTGCTCTTGTCTGGCCTGCTTCCCACCCCCAGGCTGCAGGTTTTTCAGTAAAAACGGGGAAGACTTGACTAAAATTAGAAAAGAAAAAAAAAGAAAGAAAAAAAAATTGCAGAGTCAGGCTGGAAATGTTCTCACAGAACTTCGTGGTGGTTGTCTTAGTTTCCTTTGCTCGTGTGAATTGTGTTGATGTCTGGGTGGAATGCTGATTTTCCAGAGGCTCCAGCAAAAGTTTCTGCCTTCGAGACTTTTTCACTCAGGTTCAGGCTCGAGCCCCCAGAGAGTTGCCACCACAGTCCTCAATTTTATTTGTTCAAGGGGAATAAATGGAGGTAAATGTGAGAACAGAGGCCCTGGGCTGTGAGAGAGGAGCAGGGTCAGGATGGGGGCTGAGGGCTGCCAAGGGGGAGGAGAAAACCCCCTTTATTTTGTCCTCCTGGTTTCCAGTGTCCTGTGAGCAAACCAGTGCAGCCCCCAGTACAACTGGGGTCTCCTGCTGGGACAGGGATTCAGCACTTTTCCCTTGCTGAGCCCTCTGCAAGGAGGTCAGGCTGCCTCGTGCCTCCGGAATTCCCACGTGCCCGATTTCCACGGAGATGATCCTGCACACCTTTTCACCTGGCTGTGTGGCTAGTGATTGTTGCTTTGGGCAATCAGCTAACTACACTGCCTGGTAACCAGGCTGATGGAAAGCCTTCCAACCCCTACTTGGGTGAAAACTGGGATTTTGTTTAGAAAAAAACCAACCCTCCCACAGCAGGTTCCAGCACTATTATTGAAATTCCTGAAGGTTAAGCCAAGTGGTCAGAGTAAAAATCACTTATCCATCCAGCGAGTTTAATATTTAATAATCATTGCTTAAAACCCCCCTTCACTTACTGGGTTGTTAAATAAAACATGAAAAGTATAGACAAATTTTTTTCCCAATACCCTGAAGGATGCAACCAAGATAAATTCTTAGTCCAGTCTTGGGGCATAAGCAATTAAGATAATCAATTTAAACACAACACACAGGTCCAGGAAAGCTCCCAAGGATTTTAGCACCAGCTTCAAGAAAACTAAGATTTCACTTGATACCACCAACATACAATTCTGTTGGACAGGTAAAATTCTGGAAATAAAGCTGCAAATTAATAAATATTACTAATTTTGCACTGGGAGTAAGGGTGAGGAGGATTTGTGGTGCAGTTTTCTGGCCTGAGGTTGGAGCAGGGAATCCTGTGCCTTGTTTTGATGGCAGTGGAGTTAGTGATTGTGGAGCAGGGGGTACAATCAGCTAATTACACTGCCTACAAACCAAGCACTGCTCAGAGGCTCATGGAATTCAAACCTAGAACAAAAAGAAAGCACTGCCAATAATTATATAAATATACTCTTGCTTTTAGAATAACAAGGAATTGACAATAATCAAAACATTGGTCATATCACCCTTATTCTACTAAATACCAAGTCTTTATACCACAAATTAATTGTGCTTAATAATTAAAACTGCAATGAATGCAACACAAAGATAATTTCAAGAGTGCAAAGACAAAGCAATTAAATACTAAAATATAAATTATTACCCTGCACCACAATGGAGAAAACCTTGGCATGGAGTCCTTGCTGGGAGCTGTGTCCAGAGGTGGAAAGGCAAATGCAGCTGCAATTTTGGGTCAAGATAAAATAATCAGTGTGAATAACATCACATCTGGTTTGTAGCTGGGCAGTTGGGTTAACGTGCTGTAATTTGGGATTCATGCAATTGCCATTCAAAGGTTTTCAGGATGACAGAATTTCACTAGTTCCCCCCCCCAAAAAATACAGGAACACAGATCATGCTGTCAGGAGGCCACTCCAACCTTTTGCACTAATTTGTGGTAGCCAAAGAAATCAGTAAATCTGCTCTGCAGAGCACACTGAGTGTGTGTAAGGAGTGAGAGTCAATTCTGCAAGGAGTTAGAATCAGTTCTATGAGTGAGAATCAATTCTTCAAGGAGTTAGAATCAATTCTGCAAGGAGTTAGAATCAATTATGCCCTGTGTCTATCAGATGTGTATGCAATTAATAACGGGATAAAACAATTTTATGGAGATTTATCAAGCTAAATAAGGAATGAGACAGAGTCTGTGAGGTGACAAGGATAAGTTTGCCTGCAAATTAATCAACTTTGCCAGCCTTCACCCATGAACACCTCAGTGTTAAAATGCACAAAAGGAAGTCAGGACTTACCCCCAGGCAGCTTACCTTGCAGTCATCCTGCACTTGGAATGAAATGCTGAAGAAGACGTGATGGAAAGGCAGAAATGGAGAGCTGCTTCCCTCTGGATTTCCCCCCCGAGCCCCCAGCAGGTGCTGCTGGCAGACACTCCCCTGGGGATGGTTCCCGAGGAGTGTCCCGGCTCTTCCCGCGGGTCGGAGTGTCCCCAGCCCGTGCTGTGGGTCAGCCCCACGCCCTCTGTGTACACTCTGTCACCATGGCCACCCAGCCAGGGCTCCTGCAGGGGACTGGCTGTCCCAGGTGGCTCTGGGCACGGGCAGTTTTGTTGCACGGGAGGTTTCCATGGGCAGAGCCAACACGGGACACGAGCGCGGGTTTTCCGCCCTGGCCCCTGTGAGGCTCCAGGTGAGGGTGGTCCGGGCTCTGGTGTCACCTGTGGCATCACTTGTGGCACTCCAGCCACGTCCCTCTGGGCTCATATCTGGGCACTGGGGCTTCAGCCTGCTTTTATCCACACCAGGAGGCCCCAAAAGTGCCCAACAGCTCCGAGGGATGAATGCCTCGTGCTGCAGTGGGAGGCACAGGCTGAACCACTTCATTTGTGACTTTCTTCACCTCTCCCCCTATTATTTGGGGGTCTACCCAAAGCCATTTCTGTTTGCTTGCCCTTGACCTACTTAGCCCAATGCATCCCTCTCTCCCTCTGAAAATCATGGCATGCAATTAGGGAAGAAGAAAGAACAGACATCAACACCTGATTACATCAGAAGTAAAATTTAGGGGGCTATGACAAGAGCTCTTAGACTCCATAAGATAATCCCAGGTACCTTTGCAGTCTTTCCCTTGTTATTCAATTTTAAAACATCCTAAACCAACACCAGTATTTCTCTTTTTTAAGTTTTTTCTAATTTCTTAAGTCACTCAAGACTGATGATCTTAAATTCTAGCAATATGTGGTACTCAGACACATAAAAAAAATTGTGCCTTCGGTTTCTGGTTTGTTCCAGTCAAAAATAACTCTCTGCCCAGAGATTTAAGTAAAGGTGTAGGTTTGTAACATCCAGATATGAGGTTTCTCTGCCCTCTGAGTAATGGCACAGTCAACCAAATAGGTGCTGTGTTCCTGTGATGCTTCTGAGTGTGATCAGGGCAGACAAAACAAATGCACTCTGCTTTTCCCTAAGAAGATTGCCACCTTGGATGTTCTTCCATATGGGAATCACTCAGCTTTACTGGTCTTTGTAGCAACAGTTGTGAACTTCAGCTGCTCAGCTGGAGGAGTTGTCTGTCATCCCTCACCCACAGAGATCAAGTGGCTTGCAGGGGGAAGATTTGCTCCCATAGAGCTGCTCTGGGTTTCATTACTTCCATGTCCTCAAGCCTTTAAAGCAAGAAAACTGCAAAAAAATTCTGCAGGGCTGACTCCTGCCAGAGAGTGTGTGGGGAAACAGTGTTTGCTCCTGGCCTGCAGTTACTGGAGACACTCACAGCTCATGCCTGGGCTTGCCTGGGCACCCAGGAGACCAATCATTTAATCTGGCCAAGAATTCTTGTGCCGGGTTAGGGGCCTGAGCTGAATCCCACTGAAGTCTTTGGACGGATTTCCCCCGTGTTCAGGGAGCTCTGGATCAGCCCCCTGAATGTCCAGGCACTTGTGCTGCAGTGGCTTTTAGTGGTTTGGCTTTTTTCTTTTCCTAATAAGGATTAAAACCCGACAGCATAATATTTAACCAAAGGCACGACTGTCTCCTCATTTATCTCGTTTATCACTCAGAACACTTGGCTATCCAACTTTTTGCTAAATCTGCTGGGATGCTCCTCCTGTTTGGGAATGAGGGGGAGCACAATCTGTTGGCTGTTATTTAATAGGTCTCACATTGGCATGGACTGTGCCAGTTTTGGTTTAGGCATTTTGTTTCTTAGCTGTTATTAACCAAACACAGCACCCAGGGCCGTGTTTTCTTCAGCTCAGAGACAAGTGCCAGCACTGTGAAGGGTTTGAGTTCAATGAATCCACCTAATTAAACCAGGTTTTCTGGTCACTGAAATGAGAAGCCAGAAACGCTCCCTGCTCTTCTGGTTTCTGTGCCATTAACAGCAAAAAGCTTGAACTCCTGCATGATGTCAAAAATAACAAGTTAAAAGTCCTCAGAACTCTACTTCTGTGTCCATGACCACCTGAATAATTAGAGCCAACTGGGTGAATTGCCAAGGGTTTGCTTAAATTTTCCCCATGTTTGTCTCTGCAAATGTGCAGAATTTAACCTGACTTTTGCCTCCCAGCCCCCAAGAAATGTCACCTTAGTGCCTGACTGCCTGCATGGTGGCACCTGGTTTCTCAGGTGAGGAGTTTGTTTGCTGCTGACCTGCAGTTTATTGTGTGAGCCATGGGAACAAATAACCCAACAAAAGGGGTGGTGGAGGGATTCAGGCTTGTCTTTGTGGAATCCAGTCACTGCACCCCTTTGGCACAGAACTCCCCCTCTCCCAGGGCCTGCCTGAGCATGTTGGAGAAAGCAGGAAGGTACCAGATGCTTCAAAGTCCCATCCACTCGTGTGTCCTCCTGATCCAAACCAGCATTTATTGAGGAAAGGGCAGGAACTGGGTAATTCCTGAGGCTGAACCGTGTCAGGCTCAGATCCACATGGAAATCACAATCCAGTCATTCACTCCAGGGGCATAGGATGGACTCCCTGCAATGCCTGCTAGAATTCTGCAGTGAGAATGTTATTTTAGCCTGAATAACTCAAGAATAAAAGGAAAACAAGATTTATAGGGAGAGATCACATATTTTATTAGATGATAATCTGATACTGAGAACAAATGGCATGAGGTCAGAGAAATCAGACTCAACAGCAGCTTCCTAAGATTTGGCAGGAAAAACAGCATCATCCCAATCTGTGTGTCTGGGATTGAGAAAACTTTAAAAATTATAGGTTTGTGCATTGTCCATCATTTGTAGGTGGCAAATCTTGCTCTCTGGTATTTTCCTGGACACCAATTTTGTCAGTGGAGTTAAACCCCCCCCAGATCTGAGGTAGTTGCCTCTATATTTTTATAACACCCACTTCTCTCTCCGCCGCAGCAAAATCTGTGTGATCAAAAGTTTTGAGGTCCCTTGAGAACTTTTATTTTTGTTGTTCTGGGGTGCCACCACACAGCAGAGTTTAAAAAAAAATACAAAGAAACATGGCCTGCAGTGCTTGCAAGGGAATCCACTCGGATCAGAGAACGACCCATCAACTCCCTGACATTTTTAAAGCAAGTTTAATCTCTGGCATAAAACTCAGGCCTGAGGCATGAAAAGCCAGTTTTCCTGCTCAAGAATGTTCATCTGTTGCCCAGAGCTAATTCTGGTGCTGGATGCAGACAGGCAGCAGCGAGCAAAACCCTCCTCAGACTGCCTAGAAAGAGGCTGAAAAATGTGGTGTGGACATTCTTGCAGGCAGGGCTCAGCAGTGGTTTCCTGTTGTCCTACCAAAAAAAATAACAAAACA